AACCCTGATAGACACTCAAATAACCTTCAGGTAGAAGCTAAAGTAATAGTGGAGAATATTACCTCACTGAAGTAAAGTCCATTTTTGCCTTTGAAAGCAGGCTGGGAAGCAGAGTAGCAGCAAGGTAATCTTCAGAAACTGTGGAACCCTGACACAAGAACTGATTCCTCCAGCTTTCAGAAAGCAGTTTCTGAAGGTCAGACTTTCTTCTTCATGTAACTCTGTCTGACAGGGATGTAATATAGTCTTTCCACCTTTGTGGTGCAGACATTGGGTGAAGTTATATGGTCTTAACATACAAATACTATATTTTTATGGATTCTCCAGACCTAGATCATTTGCCCAGAAATTAGAATGGAACATAGAAGACTCTGCTCAATCCTGATCCACAATGTGCTACAGAAAATAAAACATAACTGTGAAGTATTAAGAAAGTAGGACCTGCAGAAGGCCTCTCTGTACCAAGCTTAGAGTAAATTATGTATGTAGATGACAATGAAAGATTTCTGTGATCTACTTTTCTCTCAAATTCTGTTTTCTAGAATTGATTGTGACTAGTTATATCAATAATGGGACACTATACTGGGAAGTTCAGATGCCTGAAGGGCACAGTGCTCTACAAGGCTTTGGAATAGACAAGATCATGACCAATTTGCTTAACTTAAACTTCTATGGTATCTCCTTGTGCAGTGCCGATGGCTGTGTCTGGAGGTGGAAGAAAGAAGTAAGCTCTCTTAATTTCCATAGGTCAATCAGTTTAAGGTCTGAAAACGAGCCTCAAAGGAACTTTACGCTAGAAGCTTTTTACCTCAGCATACAAATCATAAATTAATTCTTAAAAATGGAGTAGATTACCCCTCAAAAGAAGCAGCCCCTTTTCCTTTACTATGGCTTCTCATCCAGTCTGGATAGAGCACACGTTTTGGAGAAAGGAGCAAGGCCTGTTTTCAGTTTGCACCATTGCTTAAACCTTGGGACACAAACACAGCCAACCTGCAGTAACCTTCCGCTGTCTACACGGGACAGAAAGAGAGATGAAGCAGTAATGGAGATAACATCTGCCAGTCACAAACTGGAACTCAACACTGGTCTTAGACAGACAAGGGCAGGGAAACTTCCTCCCCCAAGCCGTGAGAAACATTTACACCACCTAGTTACCCCAAAAGGGAGAGCAGAGTTGTGTGCATTACTACAGAGCAGCTCTGAGTATATCCAATCCCTTGCGCAAAAGCTTATTCAGGTAGGAACAGGCAGGAGACATATGAAAGCAGACAAGTAATAAATTAGGCCATTACTTCCCAAGCATGACAGACGTTTTGAAGCCCAGGATGCTTCTCTCTGCAGTCTTCACCCATTTTTTTGGTACTTTACCTGTAGTTCTATCAGGCCCTACACTTACCTGAAAGTACCAAATATACTCAGCTAGGAGCAGAAATCCCAGAGACTGAAAAGAAAAATGCCCACTCTAGTTCTTCTTCATTTATATGCTATAGCGTAAGGTACAAATTGTATTTTGGAAACTCAAATGGACAACAGTTTATTAGATGTTCAGTCCCTGTGGACTGGTTTCCTTTGAGTAGTATTGTCTTTGACTCTATAGATGAAAGCCTTTGTACAAACCATGCCAATTTTAGTAGAGTTCTTCATCAATTTTTACCTTCACAAGAAGTCTAATCTGACAAGATATGGAAGATGAGGTGCTGGACACTAGCTTAAACACTTTAATAATTTTCTCTTTCAGAATTGTCTGTGTAGAAAGAACCACTACATTAACACTAATGGTGGCTACACTGGCACCAACCTGAGCAGGAACTTTGCTGCTGCACAGGATGGTAAGTAACCCAACTAATATAAAGACCACCTTGAAACTAGCCTGCAGGGGTACATTGGTAACAGGGATTATTTTGCCAGTCATTGAAAATGAAGGCCTTTAAGGCTCCAATTTACACTTTACACTGTAATACAAAGACTCAAATGCTGTGAATGTAAATCTTATTTGCAGCTATTGGTGCCAAAGAGAAGCACATAAATCAACCCACCACGAGCCTGCATGAGCGTCTGAGGAAGAGACTGAAGCTCTTGCTGCCTTAATTTGTAACAGTCTCTCTTACATCAAGGACTATCTAAGCTTCCACTCATATTCTTAGCTGCTGTATTTCTTCATGGATACAATCCCATAGAAGTACCTAATTATGATGAACAAGTACTTAGAAAAGCTAATATAGAGCTTAAACTTCTATGAAAGTGTATAAAATCATAATAAACTGGCATGTCAAAAAAATCACAGGAGACTCTGTTTCCAAGAGAACCTAATCACAATGAATTGGCATGTAAGAAAGCTAAAGCAGCTCCCCAATGAAGTTTTAAAGACTTAATTCAGTCACTTTTGTTAAGCACTAGCTTTAGCAGAGCCATGTCTGATTTCAATTAGGGAAGGCAAAAATCAAACCATGTTCAATCAATTTCTTATGTATGTGCTTTAGAGATACTATGACTTCACGTGACATATCATGTGCTTTTAAAATCCATTTTGACTGAAATTTCCCTCAAAATAGAAAAATCTCACTTTAAAACGAAATCTTTCCGTACACATTGCATGTATGCAGCAAAAGACAGTGATGGTTTTGAAGGAAAATCTTATGATCACCTCAATTTCATCTCAGAATTACTGTCTTGCAGCACTTACAATAAAAAATCATTTTAAACCTCATTTTTATAAGGAAGTGCACCTTGAAAACTACTTGTTACACACTAAGGACTTTCATGTCCACTTCAGTATCAGTAAATAATTTAATTTCTGTTGTATAATCCAAAACCTACCAGAATAAACAGCATTAACCAAACACCTTTCTGCATCCAGTTAAGAACTGTTCAGACTGAAAATCCAGTCAAAGGGAAAGAATATTCACTCTCTCCATCTTAAAAGACATCAGCATAAAGGATGTGGACAAGAGTCTGAATATAGCTCTTTTTTCTCACTGATTCTGTTAAAAAAAAAAAAACAATCCATTTTAATCTTGCAGCTTTATTTGAAAGTGACTTAGAGTTTTGATAACACAGTTTTTAATACAAAATTGATACAACAAAAAATAAACTTCAGAGGTTTCCTAGAGCAGATTACAAGCTGTAAATTCATCATCAAATGTACTATACAGAAAAAGGTAACTTTGTTCCAAGTCTTGTTTGTAGACCAGCACCAAGTGATCCTGAAAATCTAGTTTTACTTTGTGTGCCAAAAAACCCAAAATCCACCCAAAACTGCTTCCTAAGCAAGCAAAATCTCATTGCCATTGTTCTACCTCACTGTATTTCCCATTTACAGTAACAGTTGTAACTAACTGTACACAAGAAACATAACAAGATTTTCAACATCTTCAGTGAGTAAAGATCAACTTTCACATACCTGGTATTTTAAAGGTTTTTAAGGGGTCATGGACAACACCTTATGAATTGCCATTTCCAAAGAACTCAGAAGTCCATTTAAAAAAAAAAAATCCAAAGCTCTGTAACAGTTCCTTTTAAACTATTTCATTTCAGCAAGTCAATTCACAGATCTTGGAATCATTAATTATTTTTATTCCTATGTCTGCAGTACATCAAAATCCCATCATATAAACTACCAGTATGAATAGGAAGGGGGGGAGGGGAAATCTATACAGTCCTGCAATTCTTTTACCATTCTTACCACATGCTCAGTAGAAAGTAAGGTTCCTCCCAAAACTCATCTTTTTTTTTTCTTTTTACATTTGTCTGAAATCGAGTTTCTCAAATAGAAAGTCTATGTTACAAACACTTTCTCCTTATACACACAGTTCCTCAAATGTCCCATTTTTGAGGATAACTGTACAACTTGGCTTCATGCCACCCTTGTAGGCACAGGAAAGAGACTGTTCCTCAGATATTAAGACGGTAGGGAGCTACCAGACAGGAGCAAAAAACTACTACTCCAACTGTGAAAATAACTGCTACTGTACTTCCTGAACTTGGTGTTCTCTGTATCCCACAAAACAAAATGGTTCTGAAGCATGCAATGTCATGCAATCACATTATACTTTGTAGAAGACTGCAAGGGTCTGTTTTCTGCTCTCTGCTAGGCTTGTTTCTCACTTTATGATTCCTGGGCTCATCAGTCTGACTTGTTTTACTGTGGCCATTCATGTAGGTGCGCTAGGAACAGCACCAGTGTAAAAGGATGCTAATCCAGTAACCTCAGAAAATCTGCAACTTTAAGTCTTCCTTAGAAACTGGAAGATTTCCCTAGAAATTCCACTTCCTTTTCAGGCTCTTTGCCTTTTTCTTTCATCTCTGAAACATACACCAATCCTCCTTTATCTCCACTCTCCACCCTGTGATACCAGTGTAAACAAAACCCAGTGACAGAATAATCAAGTTTTGCCAGTGGAAAAAAAGCACCATACTGTTAAACCTTCGTTCCTTTTAGTAGAGTTACAGCAGCATTTAAGAGATCAAAGCCTCAGACACACTATTGCTTAAAAACTTGCTCCGAGGTCCTCTGTAGAAATGTACTCTGCAATGCTTTGGATCCTGGTATTAAAATGGAAGAGATACTGAATATACTATGTGATCACAGAAACTCAGATAGTAGTTTCTGTGAATTTCTAGCGACATAAATTTGTGTGCAACAGACCTACTTTGTGCCTGGTGACATTTACAATGCAGATTTAGTTCTCCTGTGAGGCTGATGAGTCATTCACTATTCACTGGCATTGAACAGTTTTGCCATAGCCACCTCTTCCAGCATCATAGTCTTGACGATATTCATCTCGGACCTTACGGAGGAGGAAAAAAGGGAAGTCCAGTAAAGACAAAGAAAAACAATTTCTCAAAAACTATTACACCATCAGAATACAGTCAAACAGAGTTCACAACAGGTAAGTGGCCACAAGGAGCTGACTGACAAAACAGAAGGCAAAGTGCATCATGCAGAAGCCCAGAATACAGCATAAACTAACTTCCTTTTTAATAATGTCCAGCATGACTCTCTAATCAAGACAGCCAAAGTGAGGATGGTTAGCCTCATGCTTCAGCAGTAAAAGCACCTGCTACCTGCTCAACTTTAGGTAAGCTAAGTGCTATCCTTTGTGTTCTTGACAGCCTTACATTTTCTGGGCTTATTTATAAGCACTACCTCCCCAAGAAGCCAAGAAGTTTCTGAAAGTACTTTCAGTGCAATATATGAAAATGTTATTTATTCTTAGTGGATAACATCACCATTGATAAGACATCTTACAGACTAAGATATAGCGTGATCTTAAACAATAATTCGTAATTTGCTATTTCTGAAGTTGTTCTGAGTGTCTTTATTGAAAAAGTAGTAATTTGGTAAAGTCACCAGCCCCTTAAAAACTAGACTGTGCAACAACCTACCTGGCCCCCTGATCTTCCACGACCATACTGTCTACCCTCCTTAAATCCTGCATCCCAGTCTGTCCTTATGATCCTATCATCAAGTCTGGTTCCATTGATGTATCGCATTGCATTTTCAGCATCTCCTCTTGCATAATACCTTAGGAATAGGTTAATGAAAAAAAAAAGGGCCTCTATTTTCAATGCATGGAAAAAAGAACAGTATCAAATGGGCTACAAAACCAAGTATTTGCTTGAATCAGGTTCCTGCTTGGTTATTTTTAAAAGCAACCACTTTTATGAAGTTTTGTGGGCTGAGAAAACTGCTAGTGAAAGAGAGCAATGTGCAGGAATTCAAGCATATTAAAAAAGCATATATTGGATCAAGTTCTTTAACAACGCTCTCACCTCTAAAAGTACAAAACTCTATTACTAAAGCAAGAATGAGAAGCCCCATGCATGCTCCGTTCATGCTGCAAACTTTCACTATTTTGGTGAGTCCACTGGAACCAGTAACAGAATGATCCTCAAAGAGACTGGCATGCAATGAAGTCAACACATGACAAAGACGCACAACACCAACAGAAACATTATGTGTATGTTTGTGTGAAAAGAAATACCTCTTTACCTGGGCACTGAGAATATGCTTTTACTGCACAGGCCAACTATCTAAAAAGTGTCCGGTGTAAAGTATCAGCGTGAAAGCAACCTAATAACCCCTACTCGGCGCTCAGTGTAAGTTAGAATCATAGAATCGTTTAGGTTGGAAAAGACCTTTAACATCATCGAGTCCAACCGTTAACGCAGCACTGCCCTCTCTCGCCCAGGACCCCCACAAACACCCCAGTAACCTAATAATTTTATCCTCGGATAACCTTCCCGTGACTCAGAGCCTGCATTTCGGTTCACCCACGCCCTGACCGCTCCTGCACACGGCTGCGGCGGCCTGCGGGCAGCACAACCAGCCGCCG